AAGACTAGAAATAGAAGTATGTATGTACACGGAGAGTCGCACGTGGGGTTTGTAGCTGTTGTAGTAGGATGGAGGACTGCACTTTTTCATCATCAGATGCAGCTGGTGCAGGAGCGCAGGGGTCCAGCCATTGCGCATTCCAAGTGGCAAAAATTCAAGCTAGCCACTTTCCTACACCAAATGCCAAGGAAATGCCAAGACATGCTGGGGAGAGTCTGGGAATTTGGTGAATCGATCAACAGCAATCACAACTCTTCACCATGCCAGCATCCACTGCTGATACCAAGACTGGAGACATAGTGACTGACTCCTACCTCCAATCAGTCCTGGCCACATCTCTCCGCACACGCGAGCAATGTATGCAACTCATCGACCTGGTCGGAGCCAACGCCGTTGCCGCCTCGCAGGTACCCTCGGTTGAAGTCCAGCTCGACGTATCCAAGCAGCAACGCCTACTTTACTCCCACCTCGGCCAGTTGCGGGATTTGAACCGCAACGCAATTCTCAAAGTGAGGACTACAAAGCAGACAACGGCAGAGGCGCGGCAAGAAATCGACAGGCTACATCTGCAGCTACAGAATCTGTACTACGAAGAAAGGCACCTCCGAGGCGAGATTGCCGCGTGCGATTCTTACGAGTAGGTTCGAACTTGCGAATTGTCGCTGCAGACGAAGGCTAATCCCTTTCGCTTAGTCACAAGTACCAGCAGCTCCCCCTGATACCCGTTGGAGATTTCCTCGAAATGCACCCCGAGCACACAGAAGACGATGAAAAGACAACGATGTTTGCACGCATCAATCACGAGCTCTCGGAGCGTGAACTGTTGGAGCAGGAGCGGCAAGGCCTACTCAAGAAGAAGCAAGGCTTGATTGCGGACAACAAGAAGAGGAAGGATGACCTCGCGAGCTTAGACAAGGATTTGGAGACATTCATCGATGTGCGTGATTTCCTTTTCTAGGCTACTTCACGCGAACGCGTGATGCTGACTCGTATTAGGCTGCCAAACCCATACAGAAGATCTTCGAGAAGCAATACTGAGCTTTCACGAGCAACCGTTCCTTTTTTCGAGGAGTGGCAGCTTTTTTTGGAGCCGAGTTGTGGTTTTTTACCTGAGGGCAGGCGTTCCAAAGGAGTGACACACTTGGGGGAGCGTGAATTTGAGATACCCATTTCGCGATAGCAATCCATAGCGTGCACTCATAAACATCGACAGAGCTTCAATTCGTTTGCATGTGACTCATTTCGAGTGACAACTACTCACATCTTCCGTCGGCATCCGAGAGTAATCCCCAACTTCTCCTACAATATATCTTTTCCTCTTTCACATGTCCTTAGCAGCATACAAGATTCAACTACATTCAGCACACTAACCTGCAATTCACCGTTATCTAGATGATCTCTCAAATACACACAATACCAGTGAGGACTAATCCTTATCTGTAATGAATTAGAGTCTAGTCAATTGAATTTCATACAAAAGGAAGGGGTGAAGTTCGATGGACATCAACTCTCTCTCTCAGGTGATGGCGTCTATTGGCGTTGTGCAAACTTCCACATCGTCCCCCAAACAGATATTGGGGTACATGGTATAACCACGCTGTTTTTCATCCACTGTTTATACTTCGCTCGATATATGTAGCTACTCTTACCACTCTACAGCCTGGCATGAGGGTTTGATCCAAGCCTAAACCCTAGGCTTCTATAGCCCTGGTCTGCTCGAGCGTGGGTTTGCAGGCTCTACTACCCCACGTGCCCAAACTTTTCATGCTTCGCATGTACTGTCTTCCCAGGACCAAACTCATTGCCACTAGTTTTCAGGAACAAGGTAACGCTTTCGCATTCCAAATATCCCATCCGCGGGCAAGCTCCTCTTTCGTGCAGTCGGCGACGTTTCCGTTCATTGCGTCAATTCTCTTTACAAATTTCTTTTCAACCAGTGGCGATTGACATAGTCGAAAATCAATGTACCAAGCCACAGAGCCCATCAGCATAAGAGAGCGTCGAGATACGTAGCCAATCCACATGAACATGACGACCTTGAGAACCTGGTATAACTGAGCGTCATGCCGCTTGTCCCTAGTCCTGTCACACGAAGCATGCTTCACGTGGCCAGTAGTAACACGTCTGTCATGGAGAGGAAATGTTGGGTATCTCGTAAGGCTCTTGCTTCCACCGGTTTTGGGGCTCTGCGAGATTTTATCTGAATAGATTGGCTCGATCGCCGCTGTTGGATGCTGCGGCGGCTACTTTGAGTTTAACGTGAGGGTCGCCTCTCCTCCTGATACTAAGGAAAGGATGTTCGCATAATGAACAATCAAGAAGGTTATTGAGCTGAATTGCAGAGTCTTTGGTTTGCAAGAAATCAATGCCCATGAAAGGGGACCCTTTGGGCCGTGCTCATCATGCTAATGGTCGCGACCATCTTAATCAGCTCCGGCCCTGCATTGTTAGATCCCTCGCATCCCGTGGCGTTTGGTCGGGAAAACATTTACCGTGAGTGCTGCGGCTGCTTCTCTTAGGATTGAAGTGCTTTGCTTCGGAATTGAAACAACGGGATTGACACTAATTCTGGGCGTGGTCCTCTGGTTCTGCATTGTCGAGGATTCTACTGCCAGTGCTTAGTTCCGCACTTTACCTTCTTCCATCATGATTGCACATCTTTTTGTCTTCTAGGTGCTGACGGCCGCAGAATAAATCGCCCTAAAAGGTGCGACGTATCGGGAGCTCATGATTGAATTGGATTCCAGGTATCATCAGCGGTGTGCTAGCTTCCCAACGGCCCCGGATGACTTCAAGCGCTGGGCATAGTCCTTTTTCATTTTAGCGGGATTCAAACGGATATCTTGGGGTTAAGAATTTTTTCGGAGGCTTACTATGCAGCTAATGCGGATACCCTCTTCGATGCCCACTCGAGGCTTGTACCCGAGTAACTTGCGCGCCATTCCTCCACTACAATACCTCGTACCACATGCATCAAGGACGCTTCCGCGGCTCAACGTCGTTGGGGTACCAGTAACACAGGTTACCAACTCCGCAATGTACCCAACCAAAGACGCAAGAGACACGGGTATGTGCACCTCATATGATGGATAATGACCAAAGTTTTTCCATACTTCCAAGCAAAAATCTCGAAATGGAATGGGTTCCTCGTTAGAGATAAAGATTGCCTCTCCAGCGGCAGTTCTTGTCGACAGCAGATTCTCCACCGCCAGTACGTGAGCATCTGCGACATTGCCTACGTAAGTCACATCCCATAAGTTCTCCCCATCACCCACCACGAATGGAGTTTCTCCTTTGGCGATGCAGGCGTGAACCGATGGAATCAGCTGGTAATCTCCGGGCCCAAAGAGTACAGAAGGTCTCAGAGCACAAGTCGCAAGCTTTTCATCGCATGCAGCGAGCACTAATGCCTCTGCGGCAGTCTTCCAAGAGAGTCAGTTGATGGGTGATTCATCGCTGTAAAGAACAGCGACTCGCCTTGGACTCTCCATATATCAATGAACGACTTGATGTTGGCCACCGTTCATCTATATTCCGATACTGGTGTCTCATGTCGTCTGTGATGGCAGTGCAGGACCCAGTCCAGACGAAAGCTTTGACACCAGAGCTCTTGGCTGCCGTAAGCATATTGCGAGTCCCATTGACATTAATATTGAATACATGGTCTCGTTGTTCCCTTCCATAGCGAAAAGCAAGCTCTGGAACCAATCCGGCCGAATGTATAATGACGTCTGGCTTGATGCCATCTACAATAGTATTGACGAAGACAGCATCAGTGATGTTGCCACACTTGTATGTGATGCTTTTCTTTGGCACGTTTGGAGGGTTCAGATCCAGGACAGTGACTACCCATTCTGGATGTTGTTCTTGTACGGCATGGACAATGGCAGAACCTAGGAAGCCAGTACCACCAGTAACAAGCACAGAAGTCGCCATGATCATTTCATACTACTAGACGACTCGGCGTATATAGCAGATTCCTCGTGGCGGAAGATGACTAAAGGTCAGCAGGCCGTTATGCCGGACGCATAGGAGCATTAAGATCCAAATTCCAAGAATCTGACGATAACGAATTCCTGACATCATCAAGAGATTGGTAATGGTCAGCTCGCGCTTTACAAGGAGGACATCCGGAGTCTACTCCGGCCAGCAGTGATGACTGTTGCCGTCTTCCACAAAAGAAATGCCCTTGGCGGTCCCGACGCTTTAAAGGATCGTCGGCCGATACCTACTTGTGGTATTGGACGCGGGAGATCTACGGTAGTGAAAAGGCAGTCTCGGCAATAGGTATGTGGATTTCGGATTACGACCATGCTCGCCTTTACATGGAAGGAACAATGGAATCAAAATCTCACTCGAGCTTTGAACCAAAGGTATTTTCAAGTCTACTTATTACTAACGCATATTCCTGTCCCAATTTTTCTCATGCTCATATGCGACGTGTGGTTTCCTGCGCAGGAACGTTCCATGTGACGAAGCACAAGTTGCGACATGCTCGCAGTTGGAGTCCTCCGCCGGGGATATGAGTTGTTGACAGGGTCTGACATCGATCAAGAGCAAGTTTGGCATTTACAAGGGTCGACGCGCAAATTCTTGATGCGCTTTCTGCTTCCGAGCGAGTGTTTTGTATCGTCGGCTCCATGTCGCAACGATATTCGCGCACAACACGCCTTTGTACGCATACACGATCAGACATAGCATTTTCTTGTTTTCCTATTGGCCTACCACATCAGCTATGCGAAGATTCGTGTCTTCGGTTCGAAGAAAGAATGATGGTTTCACCAACCATATTTGAGTGCGCATCCTCTCTTAGCAAATTGGCTTTTGTCGACGTCGCTTCTGCATTGAGCCACTTGCGATCTGAAAATCCGACAGTTCTTATGTAATGCCATTGGGCAGTCTATGGCTCCGTTCCATTCTGTCAAAAACCCCTCTCAGCATTTCGAATTGCGCAATTGTGCTCCCTCCACATAAAGCTCCAGAACAGCGACGTAGCCATCATGGCATCTTCATTGATCGTTGCTGCTTCAGCAATACTGTCATTGGCTGCTGCTGCACCTGTTCAGGGTGGCATTCATTCCGGATCGCTGAAAGCCAGACAAGCTCCGAGTTGCAACGTAGGCACTCAGGTCGATAATCTCGCCGCTTACGACAGTTCATGCTGGAATACACTCGATATCATGCCATATCTGACAAATTGGAAGGCGACAACTCCTATCTGTACCGACGCAGAAAACAGCGCCGGGCAAACACTAAGCTGCTGCGGGGCTTCTGAGCCCTGGTCAACCTGCTTCCTACGCTTGGCTACCAAGCAACTGAATACCTACGACTGTACCCAACTTGACCCAGCCGAGAGCGTAGGAACTTGCTCCCTTGAATCCGACGGAGGTCGGGCGTTTGCGTTGGACACTGGCCTAGATCCGACCATTGCCTCACAGGTGAATTATGTGGTACTAAACATAATCATGATCAATAACTTTTTTGGCATGTATTACACAGGTCAGCTGCTTTCCACATGTCCGACATGATTTCAAGCGTTGATCGATAGCCTAGCTCTCCAAACCGTGACATCGGACCCAGGACAGACCTTGAATTCTTTGGCCTCCAACAGCGCTTCAACCGAGCTAAACCTGATGAACGTGGGCTTGGATTTACAGAACGTGATGGCGGCATTGACACTAGGTCTGGCATTCCCTGAGGTACGTACTTCCCAACCCTCGTTTCCACCATCCACCAGACTGACCCCTCAAGGTCGCAACCCCCCAGATCAGCACCGTCTCCTCCGACGGCACAACTACCACAGCCACAAGCCCAACCAAACGTGACCCACAATCTTCAGACCCGGGCACATCATCGAGTTCCGCACCTGCAAGCAGCGCATCCATCCTTGCCGGCGGATGCAGTTACGGCTGGCTAGCCAGTTATTACCAAGACGGTCGACACCACCGCAGACAAGAGTCAGTCACCTGTGCGAACGGAACACACACCGAATCAGACCCCAACGCCTCCAGTTCCTCGCCTTTGACCTTAGACCCTACTTCCCCACCGGTCGTCATCTTCAACCAAGCCCTCCGGCAAAGCCCCAACGTCGCGTCGGCGATGTGGCCAGCCGCCGTCAACCCCGCCACCGACACCCTCGCCAACCTCCCCAGCGCCCACCTCAACAGCGCCAGCTTCGCTCCCATCCTCACCGCCGGCCTTCAACCCATCATGAACGACGTCGGCACCTTCATCGCCTTCGCCGGCAACGGCCTCTTCTCCACCCCCCTCACCTCCACCGACGACCCCTCCGTCTACACCTCCGGCTACACCGGCGCCCTGGACACCCACATCCTCTCCGCCATCCTCGCCAACAACTCCATCTCCGCGACCCCCGGCTCCACCGTCGCGGCCAACCCTTGCACGAGCGGTCCCGTGTGCGCCTCGTCGTACTGGTCGCCCGTCACGGGGCGCCAGTACGCCTTCACGGGGTCGGGCACATCGTCGCTCATCCAGGAGGCGGTGGCGACGTTGGAGGTGGATCTCCCGGTGCTGTTCGACGGCGCCTACAATTGCACCTTGGCGGGCCGGGCGGGCGGGTCCGTGGTGAGTCTGAATCCGGACGGTTCGTTGGACATGGCGTGTTTGAGCGTGCTGCCGATGTATGTGGGCAAGGGCGGGTGTCCTGCTGGCGCCGTGTGGGTGGATGGGAAATGTCCGTTCGGTTGATCCTTGTGAGGGAGAGGAATGGGTGGGAAGAGGGAGGTGGGTGGGACGTTCGTTTCGCGTTGTGACGATGGATGGGGATGGGGAGACGGCAGCACGGGCGCTTTGGCGGCTTCAATTCCGGTCTCGTATGCTCAAGATTTTACATTGCTTTGCAGTATTGGAACGAGTGTAATTATCATTCACTACGGCATTTGCTTCTATTCGATCAAGTTTCACATACTCTAGACAAAATTACTCCCAGCCATGGCGATCCCCGCGGCAAGTGCGCCGGCCAGGTGGGGCAGACGTCATTGCAATCTTTGACCCACTCTGCGTACAATCATCGTGCACAACTACTGGACACTCTTCTTCCCGCCACAACCTCAATTGACCAAGTTCAAACACGGTCCGCAATGTCTCAAAACGTGGGAATGAGCAACTGCTGCCTGAGTGGCAAGGTGCATCAAGGCCAACCCGCCGGCCGAGAGGATGAAATCGGCGGCCTCTCAACTTACATTTCGGAGCCGGAGAACCACTCCAAGGCCAAGTCGATAATCTTCATTTGCGACAGTGGGTTGCCTCATCTGCCATCCATCTCGTCATCCATACTCCCGGGCTCCTGTGTCTTGCCCTGCTGACACACCAATCTTCAGTCTTCGGTTACACGTTCCCCAACATCCGCCTCCTGGCCGACGAATATGCCAAAGCGGGCTTCTACGCATACGTGCCGGACTTTCATCAGGGCGACTCCTTGCCATTGTCCTTTCTGGACAATGTCGAGCCCCCCCTCAAGACGCAAGAAACACTCACCCTAGTCGACAAAGCTAAGGATGCCGTCATCGTGCCTACCACTTTAGGCCCGTGGCTCGCCAAACACCGCGAAGGTGTCTCCCGGCCCTTGATCGACGGCTTCGTCAATACCGTGCGCATGACGCCTGGCACGAACAAGATTGGGGCAATCGGGTTCTGCTGGGGCGGGCGGTATGCGATTCTGCAAGCCCACGGGCAGGGCAAGAGTGGAAAGGGTAGTGATATTGGGGGCGTGGATGCGGCGTATGCTGTAAGGCACTTCTTGGAGATGTATCTTCCTGTTTGATACTGCGTTCCAAGTCACGAGACATGTTGTGGAAGCCAATTGCTCGTCCTCCCTCGCGTTATATTCCCTCAACATGTCTCGCGACGCGAAAAACTATCTCGAAACCGAAATACTGACTCCGAACTGTGCTAGTGTCATCCGAGCCTCGTAGCTGTACCAGCCGACTTCGACCCCGTGGAGATGCCGCTAAGTCTGGCGATGGGGACAAAAGATTCTCTTTTGGATCAGGGGACCGTGGGCAAGATTCAGGATTTGATGGCGAAGAAGACGGCTGTGCCGCATGAGATTAGGGTGAGTTGGCCCATCCTTTGGAGTTGAGGTTCGACCTGGTGGATTCGCGCTGACATGTTGGGATAGCTGTATGAGGATCAGATCCATGGATTTGCACTGCGTAATGATTGGAGCAGCGATAAAGATAAGAAGGCTATGGAGTACGTATTTGCGGATCCCATATTATCCCGTTTGAGAGCAAGTCTCGAGTCTTGAGACATTTCTCGGGAGTCTTTACTCTCGAAACACGTTTTAACGCTGGCTATACCTCCTCAAATGGGCAATACTGACGCCGAAATTGTAATTTAGTGAGTCGGCACAGCAGGGCATTGAGTGGTTCTCCAAGTATCTGTCGTAGGTTTGTTGGCCATTCACGGCCTGCTGGCGCGTCATTGTGCTGGACTCTTGAGGCCCATGAAGCCGCTTTGGGTTAGACAACTGATCGGTTCAATGAAGGCGTCAACGAGGTATGAAGATAGCATCTCACGGCTGAGATTCTGGACCTGCACGATGCCGTTTCTGGCAATGAAATAACCGGTTCTTGATAACCGCATGCCTAGTCCAACTGCAGAGTTCCTAATGCGTCGACACCTTGGATGCAGGAAGTACCGTAGATTTCCTTTCGATACGCACACAATTCAAGGCTATCGTTCCTAGCTGCATGGTAAGCCCGTCGACTAAGATATTGGGGGCCTCATGGAGGTAAGGCTCTCTCTACGAAAAAGACAGGTAGATGTTGCATGATTTCATATGATCGTATCAGTACTCCAAAGTACTCGGTAGGTTCAAGTTGGCCGTTGGTATTGACGTTTCATGATATTTGATGGGCCGAGTCGATTGAATTCAGGAACAGGAAAACGATGCCGATTGGTGCAGAAGAAGCACAACATCGTGCATTTCGCCTTCCGAGTTTTGTACCGCCTTTTTTGATGGAATTTTGTATATGAAGCCATATCAACAAAGAGCGTGATACTCATCTATCTCCGCCTTTCTCACTTGAATGGCGTGTGATCAAGGTGACATCGAAGTGGGAGGCAAACCCGATTGAGAGCGGACACTAATTTAGTTTAACGGGAAGCATGACGCGCTACGAAGATCCACTAGCCGCGCCTTCCAAATTGAGATCCACAATCAATTCCAAGCCAGTGAGCCTGCCCATCCACTCTCCCTTTCCAATTGACGCCCACTCTCTCTTTTACACAGCCTATCCATCTTCAAGTCAAGCCACTCCTTCAGCCCTTCTTTAATCCCTCCAAGAGAGCGAGTTGGAATGGACTGCTCGACTGTGGCTCATCTGTAGCGTAATAATCTAAGTGAAACCCTCCTGGTGCAAAGAGGCAAGGAGGCGGCCTCCAACATTCCCTTTCAATATACACCTCATAGTCCAGGCTTATCGACCGCCTTCCATTAATCGAAAGGTTCTGCATCACAAGACCCATTGAAAGAAAAGCAATTGAAAGCAGCCCTCAAAGTGGAGACTCACCCTTCTTCCTCGTCCAATCTCACAGCAACTCTGACACCTCGGAATCGGCCCACACTCACTACATTCACTACATTTACTATAATCAAGTTCCAAAGATCATCAATCACGCTGCACGCTCCGCTGCAGTCATGTCCTACAACGAGAAACATATCGTTGGTGCCGAAGTCGTTCACCTAGAACCACCACCACAACCATCATACAATAATACCCTCACCAAAACCGAGAGCATCTCCAACTCAACCTTGTATCCCTCCTCCGAGTACGATGCTACCTCAAGAGACGACTACCCACCTTCCTCAGATCATCCATTCTCCCCTTTCTACTCCCATCCTACAACCCGCACTTCCCTGGAACAAAAGAAGTCGGAGTCGAAAGTCCGCTTCCAAATCTACGAACACGATCTCGAAGCTGGCTCACGGGTTACACAATTCACACAACCGGATCTAGCTCAACCATCTCATACAGACGATGCAGTATGGCCATCCAGTAAAGCCCGAAAACAGCACGAGGCAATGGTCAAGAGCAAGAAGCACCATTCATACAGTCCTTTTAAACGCATGAGCAAGAAGCAGAAATTCTGGGTACAAGTTTTGATTGCTGTCGTTATCGTTGGGGCGATAACGGGATTGGGAGTCGGGATTACGAAGGCGGTTGGGGGTGGTGTCTTCAGAACATCCAACGATTCAAGCGCTCCAATTGGGAACAACGATAATCATTGAGAGGCTCAGCATAATGTTGGTACGCAGCGGTATGCACATCTTCTATCCCTCTGCTACAAGCGAATCACCGAGACTGACGTTACACAGGTTACGCTTACGTGTTGTGTCTCTCTTTGGAGTCGTTGCAATCTTCGGGCGGCCGTTTCTATTTACATTCTAATCGATTCTGCGCAGCGAGCCCCCTCGCCGATCTCTGATGCATCGCAGCATGTTACTGCTGCAACGCTCTTCTCTTCCGTCAGGAGGAGTTCAAGCGCCCTCCATGGTCCTTACCCTACAGACTTAAGGGCGCTACGCTATAACGACTTTCTCATGGTCCGCCGCGCGTATATGTTCTCTTGTCAAGAGCGGCTCAATGCGCAGCACATAGACACGTATATATCGTGTCGATCCACGATGACGCGTGGATGTCAGGCTTGGCGAGGAGGCGGTTGGTTTGGCTATTTGCACGTATTCAGAGTTGGTCGCGGAAACGATGGTCACATTCGAAGCGTAACATGTGTCGATACAGGGGCCTGGAGCTCCAATACAAGAGGACAGTTTCAGCCAAATGCGAGCGGCCTCTGCACCGCTTGCTAATCCACCTTATTGAAGCAATCATTCGTCTTCCGTTCCATGAATTCGTTGTTGCATGTCTAATGTCATGCTATCACAGTCTCCTATCCTTGTCCTCTTATATCATTCGTACTCTTACCTTCAGCCACCCTGACCCTTGCCTGCCAGTCATGACCTCGTTGTCTACCCGTTTCGCTCGCTGGAGCCCTATGCTTTTCTCCTTCAACACCCTGGCCCGCTTCCCCTGCACCACAAATGATGGCTCTCCGCGATCCGCTCATACCAACCTCCCAAGGACCTCCATCCATCTCACCCAATCGGGTCTCTTTCCCTTTCCCAATCCCAACCACATCTTCTCCGTAGCAAGCCCCCCCGGGCTACGCCAGCCATCAGCATGGCGATCATCCGACCGCACTCAGGTAGTGCACCGACAACCATATACCTCAGGCCTCGATCCCACCACCCGCCGTTCCCAAATGGGATAGAGTATCACTCTTCGAGTCACCACTCGCATCAGGATTTCTAAGAATGAACGGATGTCCGTTTTTCCCCGTGACTGACTGTTCCATCGCCGTCGTTCTTATCCCAGTTGAATGCTTCGCTGGCCGGCTGAAGCATGTGAATGAATGAATGGATGAATGATTTCTGTAGACGTGGTGGATGATGGTGTAGAGGGGACTGGGGGCCGGAGACGAGGCACCTGGCTTGGATGTGGACGGGTGCGGTAGGGATATGGCTCCGTTGGGATGGATGGATGGATGGATTGGATGGGATTGGCGTTCGGGGCGGGGGTTGAAGGGGATTGTGCTGGGGGGGGGGCTTCGGTTGCGGTTGACGGTGGTTGTGCGCGGTTGCTGATGGCGTCGCCGATGTCACTTTCCTCGTGGCACTTTCCCGCCCCCCTCATCTCTGCTTTTTGCTGCCCTTTTTTTCGGGTTTGGTTTCGCGCCTCTTGCGGTCGGTCGGTCGGTCACGGAGAGCGGTGACGGCAGGTAGATGAGAAATAAGTCGGCCCGCTTGGAACCTTGTGCAATACGAGATCACGGGGACTATTTGTATGTGATGGCGACGGGAGGTCTACGATCGGCTGCACGAGAAGGGTACGACTCCCCCGGGGAGATCACGTAGGTAGAGTACGTAACGTCCCCCCCAAAAAAAATAGAAAATAAATTCCGACGAGGTCCAGCCAATCGCCGACCCCACTCCCCCAAAAGGTCTGCCGCCTCAATCCCTCCTGCCCATATCTCCTTCACAGCGGAGGAAACGGAAACTTCTTGACCGTCTCCGCCATATCCTGCGCCACGAGCTGATGCACATGGCTCATCGGGTCCACATACTGCATCCAATACCACTCATCCTGATGCTGGAGCGTGACGCAGTAGTCCCAATTCCTCGTGATCCGGACCCCGTCCACCACCGTGCCGTTGATCGCCCGCACGGCCGCCGGCTCCTCGGCGTCCCCGTCGCAGAAGGAGGGGAACCCGTTCGTGTCCCGGATGTTGGGGAACGCGCCGCCCGGGTCCGCGTACAGGTCCGACATGAAGGCGAAGGCGTCGTACCGGACGACCCGGTCGGCGTGGGGCAGGGCCGCGAGGGCGGCCTCGAGGGCGGCGTTGGCGGAGGCGATGGCGGCGCCCAGGGCGTCCCATTGCGACGGGGTGTCGATGCCGAGGAAGTTGGGCCAGAGCGGGGCGTGGTTTTTGGGGTAGAGGTTGGCCACGAGGACGTACGGCGCCCCGGCGTCGAGCAGGGTGGAGACGAGTCCCGGGATCTTGGTGGAGATTTTGGCGGCGAACGCGTCGTTGAGGGTCGGGTTGTCGATGCCGAGGGTGCCTTTGTAGGCCGCGTCCATGTCGTTGGCGCCGATCCACAGGAAATGCAGCGCGTTTTTGTTGACGCCGCCGTTGATGTAGTCGTTTATCTGGACTTTGGCACTCGGGGCTCCCCAGCAGGGTTCACTGAATTCGCCGTGATTGAACCACGGCCCATCCGCGAGACTGGCGCTGAAGTTGGACTGCTGCATCGTATCGTCGATGGTTGCGCCGAAACGGCTCCCTCCCCAAGCACCCCCAAAAGCGTAGTTTTGATCCATAGGCACGCCGAGGAGGTCGGTGAGATAGGAGACGGCGACGGGTCCGCTGGTCCAGGTGCGGGCGCCGTAGATGGTGTTCCCGTCGACCACGTTTGTCGGACTCCAAGCTGCGACATTGTGGGCGTAGCTGCCGTTCCCGTTATCTGACAGGTTGTCCCCAAACGCGACGAGGGCGCTGAATGGATAACCCGCGCTGTGAGCTTGGGCCGCTGCAGAGGAGGCCGCGGTGGATGTCGGGGAGTTGTTGGCCGGAACCACCGAGGAGGCAGGGGTGGTTATCGTTGCCGGAGAATCGGCGGCTGTTGAAGATGACGTTGTGTGATCTACCACGGTTGAGGGAGCATAGTCGAGATCGGGACTCTCGAGAGAGGCAAAGGAACCGGCGGAAAGGGTCGCGGAGCTAGGACTGGCACCACCTCCGCTGAGGTGGCTGGGACCTGAACCAGAACCCGAGTCGCCGGCGGCAGAGCTGGTCGCAGTGGGGTTCGACGGAGGTGCCTCGCCAGCGCTTGAATCAACCCCGGTAGTCTCGGGTTTGGAAGGGGGGGCAAAATGCTTCCCATTGCCAGCGCCGTGCCTAGATCCTGCATGGGTCGGCTTTGGCCCAGAGACGACTGTCACGGATCCATCAGGGAGTGTATAAGTCGTTAACGGGTATTCAGTATCCTCACGCTCCTTCTTCCCACCCTCCTGGTGTTGCTCATATCCCTCAGGCGGGGGACCGGGAAGATGAACAGTCACATCGATATCCTCCACAGTAGTGTCTACCTCCACACGAGAACCTCGGTGCGTTTCCCCTTGTCGTGGCGATGTCTGTGAAGAGGATGGTGAACGGCCAGGGCGGAAGAGGCAAGGCAAGAAAGCAAACAGCAAAGAGCCGATGCACGCATGGCTAGATGTTTCTCCAAAAAGAGGAAGATAATGTAGATGTAAGGAACGTAATGTTTACAGTGTCAGCTACAGAATCGGTAGAGACCGGCTATCGCAAAGCAAGCAAGAAAGGAATGAACGCGATCAGAGAGACCACCCAGTCAAAAAGACGACAACGACGACGAGAAGAAAGTAAAGCATCGAGACCGAGAGACGGACAGCTACATGATATTGAGGCAAGGAGATTATCCCCCTTGGCGAAGAGGCCGAGTAACCTTATGAAGGTGTGGATAAGTTGAAACCTCTAGGTAAAGTGACGCACCCTGCCACCCCTTCGCCCACTGCTAGACTCATCAGCCTACCGCGAACGCGCGGTATAGACTGTTGGATAACTTATTACTGACCAAGGACGGCAAAGCAATCAAACCAAGTCGACGGTAAAAGTGAACGGACAATAGGTACACCCAATACTCACTCGGGGCTGTGAACCAGACCATCAAAGTCCAACGGCCGTGCGGCCTCACGCTCCCCATTGGTTGAAATGAGGGTCTGACATACCAATCACGGGTCATGTCAATATGTTGGTGAAGGGTGAGGAAACGGTCAGCGCGTAGAGGACGGGAAATTTAAGGGGTCGGTCCACCCCGCTTCGTGGTTGGGGTTGGAACTTCTGGCCCATCCTGACTCGAAGCAGGTCTTTAGATTTTGCACTCACGTCGGGTTATTATCAAGGTATCAAAGATCATGGTTGGAAGATCCTCGTGAAAGGAAGGAAAAAGCCCCGTCGAATATGTGGAAAGAAGACGGCAAAGTTCTGTGACACGAAGCGGTTTTTATTATAGATGGATTCCTATAGCATAGAATATGTAGTATCTGTCAAAACCCACAAGACGCTGACCACCTCCAGATGCTGTGCGCAATATGCCTGTCATGTCGTCGTCATGTTCGTAGACTTTGCAGTCCCCTGTGTAGGAAGCTACTCTTCTTTACTTTCCTCAAAATCTTCTCTCCGAATGCCACTTCTATCACACATCCCTCTGAATATACCTCCCTCCTTCCACAACCTAATTGGTGTATCCAACTCTGCTATCCTTCCCTGGTCCATCACACAGATCCGATCATAGGTAATAATCGTCTTGAGCCTATGCGCAATGCAAAGCAACGTCTTGCCCCTGAAGCCTGTCTGTATCGTCCGCTGGATCTTCTGATCCGTTTCCATATCCACAGATGAAGTAGCTTCGTCGCAGACGATGATTTGGGAGCCACGGACCAATGCTCGAGCGAGAGCCATGAGTTGCCGCTGTCCGAGGGAGAAATTCAAGCCCTCCTCTTCAACGATACCGTCGAGATGGATGCGACCGTGGGCTTTGTCGTCGAGGTTGGCGTCCGCATCTACGAGATCAGATTGCCGTAAGGCCGACCAGAGCTCGAGATCGGTATGTTCGTTGAAGGGATCGAGATTGGAGCGAATCGTACCACGGAAAAGAGTGGGGTCCTGCGGGATAATCGCAAGGCGTGTGCGGAGGTCTTTCAAGCCGACTTGAGCGATATTAACGCCGTCGATGCTGATGGATCCGCCGGAGAGCTCAACAAGTCTAAAGAGAGTTGACATGATACTCGATTTGCCGGCTCCAGTGCGGCCGACAATGCCGATGCGCTCACCTCCGGCTACGGTTATGTTGAGACCTTGTAGGACTAGGGGAAGACCATCTCGATAGCGCATTTGGACTTCGTCGAAGACGATCTCGCCTTTCTGGGGCCAGCTGTCCGGTATGTCTTTCATGTGTAGAGGAGGCTCTTCATCAAGTTCAGTGCCGTAGTAGTAAAGACGCTCAGTGGATACCATTGCATTCTCCACTTCTGCAAGCTGTCGGACGGTGAACTGGATCATTTGCACGATCGACAAGATGTAGGATAGAACCAGGCCGCCGATACTTGGGGAAACATTGAAGCGCGAGGTCACCACCAGAATGCCCGTCGTGAAGACCAAGAGGTTCCCAATCGCGTCAAGTCTTACGCTCAACCATCTTTGATTGGAGAACGTGAGGTAGTAAGCCGAGTTCATTTGATCCACAGATTTATGGATCCCTGTGACGAAGTAATCTTGTAGACCATACGCTCGAATACTGGCGGTACCGGAGATTGCTTCGCTGAAGCGTGCAAACACCTCAGAACGAAGCACTGACTCATGGCGCTTGATCTCTCGCGCGGACGATCGATAGTAGCTTGCAGAAAACAGAAACATTAGGAACAAAGGTCCGAGGGCGATAGCAAAGTAATGGAAGTAAACAATGATCAGGATAAACACAGAAGTGATCATCGCCAGGGTAAAGAAGTACATTCGCATGGCGTCTGTCAGATTGTTGTCCATGATGTCGACGTCCTTAGCGAATCTATTCGTGATCCGTCCCAGTGGAGTTGTGTCGAAAAAGCTCATCGGTGCTCTCAAAACCCGAGTCATGGCTTTCTGCAGCATAACCCTCGACGCTCTTGTACCTAACGTCGTGAGACAGACAGAGAAAGTGAACATCAATAATGCCTGCACTACTCCGAGAGCAACGTAGGCACCGATATACTGTCCCTCCGTGAAGCCAAACTTGTTTGACGTCCACCATGATAGCCATAGACTTGTTGTGATGTTCGCGCCCTGAGAGATGACTAAAATCAGGAAGACCATCGGCGCGAATAGTAGCGAGCCCGAGGCACGAACGTAAGCAATGTATACACTCCAGCTCACACTCTTTACCGCTCGTTCCTCCTGCTGCATAAGTGCAGCTCCGCGCTTATTGGTCTTCCTTTTCTTTGCGTCCTTCTTGTCATCCTCAACATCGTCCTCATTGACAGCATTTTCTTTCTCGACCTTCTCCTCTTGAGCCGTGCTTGCCATCAACTTTTGAAAGGCCTCATCGTTGTTGATCAAGTTTGCAAAAGTATCCACTGTTTCAATATGGCCCTCCTGCATCCATATGATGCGGTCACAACGACTGAGAACGTGAAGCTGGTGAGTCGCCAGGATTCGGCACTTGTCTTTGAGCAAACCGCAAATCGCGTTATCAAAGATATGGCGCCCAACATGAGCGTCGACCGCTGAAAGAGGATCATCCATGAGGACAACATCACTGTTGAAATAAATAGCACGGGCGATGTTCATACGCTGCTTCTGCCCTCCTGAAACAGTGATACCTCGTTCACCAATTTCAGTCATATCACCGTTGGGAAGCATCTCAAGATCCGGTCGTAGAGCGCAGGCGTCGATGACGGCATCATACCATTTCCTATCATACGGCTTCCCGAAAAGTATGTTATCTTTCACAGAAGCATTTTGGATCCAGGCATACTGTGGACAGAAAGCTCGTGTAGCGCCCATGGTCACGCTGCCGTTCGTCCTGCGCATATCACCAGCCAAGGCAGCAAGCAGTGAACTTTTGCCAGAGCCAACGCCACCAATGACTGCGATGAGCTCATTACGTCCGACAGAGAACTCCATATCGTGCAATCTAAAAGGCTCGACTTGAGTTAGAGTGCTGGAGCTGTCCTCTCCACTCTTGGAACCGGCGGGATTTGGTCCGTGGGCCGCTGCCTTCTCTGCATCTTTGACCTTCTTAATCTGCTTCTTATTGAGTTGCGCGCCAGTCTTTTTGTCTGGATCTTGGGTGATGGTCCGTTCCCATGTGAAGTCGGCATGCTCCATGGAGACGGCGTGCTTCCCTTCCATGTCCCATATAAAGTCGTCACTCTGCTCTTCTGCGATCAGAAAGTCCTGTATTCGTCCGAGCGAGGACCAAGCATCCACAACCTGACCAATGACCAATGGTAGTAGATTCAAAGGCATCCGGAGCGAATTGAACAGCGCCAAGGAGGAAAAGATGGGAGCTGCCACCAAGTCGTGCTTAGAGAGCGAGTACGTTACAAAAGAGAGCATGGAGGCAAAGATGGGCAATGACATGGAGACTGCGTTTATTCCGTTTCTGATGGTTAACAAAAGCTGAATCGCACGAATCTCGCGTCTCCTGATCTGACCAATGCGCTCGAGGAAGGAACTTTCCCAACCAAAGTATTTGACAAAGCGGACCGCTTGAAGGATTTCCTGAGTAAGGGACACCCTCTGATCTGTGATCTTGTTTATCGCTCGCCTTCGCGAGAAGAGCTTCTTGATTGCTTTGGTCAATACTGGAATGCCGATGACTAAAAGTGCGAATCCTGCTAGTGCCGAGTATGTCAGATTGATAAGCAAAACAACCAAGGTAATCATAATGGTCACTGGTGATGTCCACACCATGTGAAACATGCCTGAAGCTTGGTCAACGCGATAGGTGTCGGTAGACATGAGATTGACCACTCTTCCATTGCCCCAACCGGCTCCGTCACCGGATATTCCTTGCGCCTTGTCAGGTGTGACTTGCGGACCTCCCGTTGGGTTGAACCTTTTATCGACCATGCGCTTGAAGAGGTTCTGCCTTTTCATCTCCTTATTGACCTCCCCATCTTGCTTCATTGTATCCTCAATGGCCTTCCCACCTGCTTTGGCCCGTCCCGAGATCTTCATTGCTTTTTCAAAAATGACCGTTATCAATGTGCCTCTCGACTGCGCTCCCACCATCTGGCCTCGGTAGATAAAGTGGTTTGTTCCCAAGCTCTGACACATCTGCATGACCGTAATGCCAATGACCAATCCTATGCCTTTGGAGATGTGAGGTGCCGGTTTATGGTCGACTTGCGCTTCGTATGCCTGGGTGGCGAAAGCGATTAGATATCGAAGCGTGAAGGGTGACATGACCGTGAAGATGCTGGCGAACAGTTGGCAAATCCCTCCGAGCCAGAATTCGAATTTGAAGGTCTCGTGCATGGCCCATAAAAGGGGATACTTGTCGCCGCGAGCCACTCGCCTCTGAAACGAAGCACTGAGTTTGTCTGAGAGGACGGGAGATGCGCGATTCGGATTGACCAGCCAAATATCGTTGAGCTCCAGTGTCCGTTGATACCCCGTACTCATGAGTGGCGCCATCCATTGAAAGGTCAACAGACTGAGGAAGGAGGCCCCGTATTCCCTTGACACCCTCCTTTCTTTCGGTATTGGAGGTTTGATCGATTTCTTCAATGGGTTCAGACGTTTGTACCATGGTTTCTTTTCCTCCGATTGCGATACCACGGTCACGGTTGAGGTAGTCGTAGTTGCAGTGGCGGTCCTATGGACGTCTGGCTGACCATCCTCCTTCTGCCCTTGATCCGAATCCGAGAGATCGCTCTCGGATCCTACATATTGTAGAGGTGCTGTGGCGACAGGCTCGGATGAGTTTGTCTGGTTGGCAACTCCAACGGGATCTGTAGAAGCGTACTCCTTCTCTTGCTTGCCTGATTCCGCCATGGTTCTATGAGGGGGTTATTGCTGGCTTCGGGAGAAGCATATGGGACTGGCGATGTCTTCAAGGACGGAAGATATTCGGTGAAGCCTGTAGGATGATGATATTCTTGTAAATAGACTAAGTTCCCCACCGAAAACTAAAATCAGAGGTAACTTTTTCCGGAACAGTCCTCGGGGTTCGCTCTCGGAAATAGAAGCCGGGCATTTTCCCTTTACGTCTCCTTTGTTGCCTTGGATTCACTGGAGTTGATTGAAAAGCATCATTTGTAATTGCTCAACCTTTCATCCCGTTGAACGTTCGACCTCGGGCAAGTAGGCGCCCCCATGGACGAGGAGGTCAAACCGCAGCATCTGAAAATAAATAGCTACAAGATCAGTACCTCCACCGATTTTGGTTCAGGATCGCTTGAGTTATCCATGGACTCGTACCAAGCAGCGGGCGTAGAGCATGACGCTAACATTGCTGGTCCAGCTTGCTGTAGGTAAGATGGTGCCTCTGTAGCCGAGCCATAGAGTACCGTAGTGCTGGGGTAATTGGAAAGCTTGCTTTGAAATCACGACAACCATAAACTTAAGGTTGACCAATCAGATCTTCGGATCTCGTTCTTTTTACGCTAAACCTCATATCTCTAAGCTAAACACGGGTACACGCGGATACGTCCCAAAGAGGAAGCTGGAAAAGAATTTCAAAATCTTCAAATTTACCTTCTTTAATTCCTTTCACGTTTTTTCTAATATAATAATAGAATAAGTTTATAGATTTATAGAGTTAATTATACACTTTTAAATAATGTAGCGTAGACGAATTTTGATAAAGTATTCGTAAAGATATACTAAAAAATTCAAATTTATATGAATTAATAAGCTTACGAGAAGAGCCCCTTCGGCAAAAGCCCTCGAAGAGCCCCCGAAGGGTTCGGGGGTTCTAGGGGGGTCTCCCCCTAAGAATCAATCCTACTATTTAGAATCACTCTAATTATTCGAGGACTCTCTGAGAGTTTTCCGAGGATTACTATCAAACGGGCTGTCGAAGCAAGCTTGAAGCCCTTATTCATAACACTTCGAGCTTACTTCGACAGCCCAATCGGTAGCAGTTCTCGAAAAGCTCTCTGAGCGTCTTCGAATAATTAGATTAATTTCGTGATAAATCATATAGAAGGGTAAGTACCTTAATCTTAAGCGTTCTTCGCTGCAATTGAGCTTCTGTCACTCAAGGTGGAACCTAACAGTATTCAGTGTGAGGTGTTCTGTGAAGAAGAAGAAGAAGAAAACGTCGTGGAAAAAACACGTTATTGAGGCTTGGGGCTGAGAAGCCGTGCAGGGCCAAGCTTTCAGCTGGGAATCCATTTTGCAACATACGAGGCAACCTAGGTCAGCAACCTGCACAGCCGAAGGAATTGACAGTTCCTTTGTGTCCAGTAGAATGTATCCGCTACAGTATTGGTATCTCGGGCCAAAGCCATTTTTATGTATACATGCCATGTCTCATCGCCTTACCAAAGCAGGCCTTTGCTTTTCTCCTTATCCCCTTGTTTCCTCAAACACCAAACTAACATATCGCCTTTCCTCCTCCAGTCATCATGGCCCCAGCTATTCCAACCCCGCCAGCAGTCATTGTATGCACTTCCAGTCAAAACTTCCTTCATCGTTGGCTCCATCTGTTCGAAGAAGACAACGTACTCAGGCCAGCTCTTTCGACCTTCCCTGCCATCCCACGCATCTGCTTCAATCATGTCTTCTCTGCCAAATCCATTCTTCCGGCGCTTGCGGGTGCCGAACCAACCGAACCATGAGGCTTGTCGTTTCTTCAGCGTGGGAGGGGTTCCTAATGTTGTAGCAAGGAATTGCTTAGGGTCAGCATAGAATTGATCAGCCTCGTCCAGATAGTTGGCTCGAGCGGAGGCGTTCATGTTGACAGGGGGCTCGCATGTAAGAGCCCAGGCTTTCATGGAAGGATGGACAAGCTGAGACCGCCAGGGCGTGCTATGGCAAGGCATCAGGAAGCCAACAGTCATCGTAGATGGTGCAGGCGCGAGAAATTCGGAAGGTGGCTGGCTGAGATAGTATTTGGTGTGTTGGTTGCGGAGATAGGTCATAACTGTAAGTGGGGCGGTTTGGTGCGATGTTGTCGTTACAATCGCGATACTGATGTTGACGATGAACAGAAGGGCAAGAAGAAAACGCTTGGCTGTGAATTGTGAAGACCGCGGAATGGCTAGGGAGACACCAGGAAGAAAAAACGTCGTGAAGGGTACCGCAGCGAGTATGTGAAGAAGAGGGAGGAGAGGGTAGACGAATCTGACTTCCTTATGAGGAATGAATGACAGTACACACGGAACCAGGACCGCTGTCGTGGCGAGTTGATATTTGATGGTTTTCGTAGAAGTGGAGTCGTTGAGGTATTGGGGAGGATGCTCGGGAGGGAAGAGGGATTGCCAGATGCCGATCAAGCCGAATGGAAGGAAAGTCGTCAAAAGCAGTGGGTATCCTTGCGATAGGTAATAGTGCCAGTCGTTTCTGCCGTAGAATACTGCGAGGGACTGTGCGATATTGAAATAGAGGAACCGAAAGGGGGGAAATGTCCATTGTTCGTAGTAGAGACGGTCAACAAGTGTGGAAAGCATCAACATTAAAGACCTGGAGAGTTGGTAAGCCACGCTAGGTTGACTACGACGAGAAACTTACCCGCAAAGACAGGCCTCTGTCAGTAAGACCTTGCGCTCCTGCTTAGTAGCAGGGAGAAAAGACAGAGAGGAGATGTGGACCCATATCTGCGTACCCTCCCAAGGTAACGACAGCATTTTTCCATGCGTCGTGATACGCAATAGCGCGAAGGTAGCAAAGCATATCCAAATCAGAATGTTGGTTGGTCGCAGTATGCAAGCCAAAGCAGCAAGCAACAGACAGCGACGAAGTCTATTTTTCGAGTCAGGATTTTGCTTGCGATCCCAGAAATCGGTCACCAACTTTGCCTTCTCGTCAACATCGCTTTGCTTCTCGTTTATGCGCAGACCGTCATTATCAAACTCATCGTCTTCTTCTGCGTCCATCGACCACTGCCAAGGCCAGAAATTCAGCGCAACAACCGTCATGGTTGTTTCGAGGCAATTGGAAAGCGTGCGCGTCGAGCAGAACCATTGCCATGGACTGCAAACCGTGAGGGCGAGCTATAGAATCAGAGACCCTAGCAATCAGCTGACGCTCTGACTCGTCCAAAGTGGATATCATTGGCGCTACATACAGCCGCCCATGCTTCATTACTGCCTGATCCGTAGACACATTCCCCAAGTTTCCACGTGTAGTAATCCCCCAGCGCAGCGAAGATGGCCTGGGTTACTTTTGGCGCGGCTACTAGAAGGTCGGCGCGGTATGCGGGAGACAGATGCAGGACCCAGGAGAGGCCTGACGACAGCCTATACACGGCGGCAAAGATTGCAGGATGAATCGCAGAACGAATGTGATGTCTCCACTCCTGCGCCAGCCCTTAGCAATCGTCATTCATGGCTTGTTTGTTTGTTTGCTTACCCAGGTGATCCATGCTCCGCTCTCAGCTCCAAACGCTATCTCCCATGCCGGCTCGAGTGATTGGAAGAATTCGTCAGGTTGAAAGAAGGTCTTGATACTCAACGCGTTAAGAATCCTGAATGCGAGCAGAAATAACAATACGTCTTGCGAAACGGACACCTCTTTGACTCGTTCTAAGGCGTGTCTCCGGAAACTCTTGTTGTCATCGAGGTAGATGGAATTGTCGAGGCTAAACTTGGTTGAGGCCTGCGATATGGGTGTCGTCGGGGGCGATGACATTGCCTCGCATTTGCCTTGGGCGAATGCTAGTTTGGGGAACACGGCGCAAAAGAGGACTCGCGGGACAACTGAGGTACTTGCCAAGCCAACAGGGCTGGGCTGATGGTGGCCGTCGGAGATAAGGTAATCCCCGCGAGCCCTATGAGAATGAGCCCTACGAACCCCACGAGCCCCACCAAAAGACCGAGAGGCCGTCGCCTACATGCAGCCTCTACTCCTCTAAAAGCAGGTACACACGAATCTGTTGAAAACTTAGTAGAAAACCCCTACATTTACGGCTTATGACCCATTGAAAGGCTACCAATTGCACTCAAAGGCCTCCTACACGAAAAACTCTTCTCTCCACCCCCACCCTGCTAGAAAGCCACATCTTTCGCCCCTTGGTACTCCTCTCTGCTTCCAAGTACAAAAACATTCCTCCATTTTCAGTGTTTTGTCGTTTGGAAACCCAACGAGACCCTAAAGCAATCCATTCACGCCCAACATGGCACCAGCGGCTTCTCTTCAGACGAATAACCATGCAGATGGCACCATTAATAGTACCACATTGAAAGCAACCGCGCCCTCATTCCACCCAACAGGAACCCCAGATCCATCCAAATATCACGCTGCCTCGACGAACGAAGCCATTAGCAGTGAACACACCCACGCGGCCCACAACTACCATCCTCTTCCCATCGTCTTCTCCAGAGCTGCAGGCTGTTCTGTTTGGGATCCTGAGGGCAACGAGTATGTGTGATCTTCCTAGCCGACTTCCCTATTCGATACCAGATTTCGACTGGCGAGACATTTTTCAAATGCAAAAGCTCCTCTTACTCCCCCAATTTGTCTTTTGAACCAAGTGTTTGGCCCAAAGGAGTCACGCTGACTCTAAGATGCGTAGGTATCTCGACTTTCTCTCGGCTTATGGCGCTGTCAATCAAGGCCACTGCCATCCAGAATTGGTCAAAGCCTTGATTGAACAAGCATCAAGGCTGACACTGAGCTCGCGAGCCTTCTATAACGATGTTTTCCCTAAATTTGCAGAATTTGTTACCAAATTCTTCGGATTTGATATGGTCCTGCCAATGAACACTGGGGCCGAAGCGGTCGAGACGGCCGTAAAGATCGCAAGGAAATGGGGATACAAGACGAAAGGCATCCCACCAAATGAAGCATTGGTCTTGAGTGTAACGGAGAACTTCCATGGCAGGACAGTAAGCGATCTTTTTAATCCTGTGAATCGATTCTGGGTGCTCATAGAACTCTTTTAGTTCTCCGCAATCTCCATGTCCACTGATTCTGAATCTCGAGACAATTATGGCCCTTTCGTGCCGAATCTTGGCTCTCATTGTCCTAAGACAGGGAAGGATCTTCACTATAACGACATTGATGGACTCAAGTCTGCATTTTTGGCACATGGGCATAAAATCGCAGGCTTCCTGGTCGAGCCTATCCAAGGCGAAGCAGGGATCGTTGTGCCTGCCGATAACTATCTCAAGGACATTCGAGACCTCTGTGACAAACACAACGTACTCATGATCTGTGATGAGATTCAGAGTGGTATTGCAAGGACTGGCAAGCTGTTATGCCATGAGTGGAGCGGTATCAAGCCTGACTTGGTGCTTCTGGGCAAGGCAATCTCCGGGGGCATGTACCCAGTGTCGTGTGTCCTGGGCTCGAAAGACATCATGCTGACGATCGAGCCTGGCACTCATGGGTCAACGTACGGTGGAAATCCACTTGGTTGTGCTGTCGCTATTCGAGCTCTGGAAATAGTCAGAGATGAGGATATGGTCAACCGTGCCCAAGAACTGGGCGAGCTATTCCGCAATGGGATTGAGAAACTCAACAATCCAATGATAAAGACGGTCCGAGGCAAAGGTCTTTTCAATGCCGTAGTCATCGACGAGACGAAGACAGGAGGCCATAGTGCCTGGGATCTGTGTATGCTGATGAAGGAGAAGGGCTTATTGGTGGGCAGAGCTCTGAGGATTGCCCATGTGAAGAATAGTGGAGATGCTGATGATTCGAAGGCGAAACCGACACATCAGAATATCATTCGCCTCACACCTCCGCTTGTCATCACTGAACAGGAGATTCAGAAAGCCTTGAAGATCATGGATGACGCAATGAAGGAGCTTCCGTCTCTGAAGGGAAAGGAGGAGGACGAGGTGATTCCGGAGCCAGAGAAAAATGTCAAGATCATGGTCGATAATTAATCATATGAGGCTGGAATCGAACAGAAAATGCCTCATTGCCGTGGGATATTATTGCATTTCGAAATCGTATTATTCTACATGGACATCAGTTGGGGGAAAACTGTGCATTTGCTTGAGAGATCATCGGGAACGGAGCAGCATTTGGTCTTGATGATACCAGATAGTTAGAGCACCAAGAAAATGAGTACTTTAGTAATGTAGCGATCTTACCTAGGTAATTTATGCCAAGCTCGGCAGACGCGTCGAATGTAACTCATTCGGGCTTAGCGCGTCATTAGCGTCTTGAAGATGAAAATAAAATCACAATCTGCTTTCAATTTCTTTTCCTTCCGCATCAAAAAAGCAACGGAACCAGCCACGACCATTGTTTAGCCGAAATGGATTCTACAGCAATGTGTTGCCATGTGACATCGCGTTACAGTGGTTCCGGAGATCAAGTTCAAAGCCCGGATAAATAGGAAGTTTCCTTCTCGATGAGTCTTTTTTATTAAGGGCGATGGGATGGGAATGTCGATAGATGGGCTACATGCTTTCAGTCTGGGTGTTTAGTTCGCGTTGTCAGTTGTCAGTTGTTCAGTCTTGTGTCGACTCATTAGATGCGTTCAATGCCAAGTACTAGAGGAAAGATGGCGTGTCTGCTGCATCACGCGTTCGTTCGTGCTTTTAATATAAATTCAATCGCTTGCGGCCTGGCTCGGGAATGAATACGGCTAACTTTTCTTTCAAAACTGGCAATCTCTCATTCCTGCTGTTTGTTGTGATGTTTTCGTGCCTGGCATTCCTCGCTTGGGATCTCCAAGATATGCAATTAACAGCACGTCTCCCAGCCATCACTTATAACTCGACTGCCGTTTCGAGTCTTCAGCTTTGCTTCCCCACGCTCTTGACCCTGCATCTGTTCGTCTTTGCTGCAAAACCATTTAGCTTTCCTACAGTCGCTCCTTTTTCGCATCGAAACTCTATCCCATCCAAGTTCCATCCAAAGCCATCAGCCCGTTCAATCGCATCATCATAACCCCCTCGACCAATAATCCGTTGACCCGATAATCGCCATGAAGCAGACAGCTATCGCCGCCGCCGTTTTAGCAGTCGGTGCCACGGCGCAGAACTCGACGTCAACAAGGACTGAATATTATAACACTTGCTCGCTCTCCTCCGGGGGAATTGTAACGGCCACCGCCACACAAACCTACTGCGGGCCATGCGAGGCGGCGGGCATGACGACTTTTGCCGGTGGATCTCTCACGACGTACACGACTAAATTCCTCCAGGTTTGCCCCACCGGTCTTGCGGAGGCAACCTACACTGTCACCGAACCCTGCCCAAGCACCGGTCTTGCACGAGGATCTGGCTATGTTCCACAAGGATTCACTGTAACGACTGTGCCATGCTCTGTCTGCGAAGCAGGCAAGTCACAGTATGCGCAGACCACGCGCGGCCCCGCTCTCGCTTCCGCTCTCGCTGCTCCAGCACCGGCCCCCACAGTCCCAACTGCGCCAGCCGAACCCGCACCACCTACTGCTGCTGGTCCCGCTGCCGCTCCCGGTGCGCCTGCTGCTGCTGGCGCCCCTGCTGCTGCTGGCGCCCCTGCTGCTGCTGGCGCCCCTGCTGCTGGTGCCCCTGCTGCCCCTGCCGCTGCCGGTGCCGCATCGCCCGCCAACGCTGAAAACGCTGCCGCAGCTCCTGGTGCTGCATCTCCTGCCGAGAAGGGTGCTGCCTCTCCCGCCGAGAATGGCGCTGCATCTCCTGCCGAGAATGGCGCTGCAGCTCCCGCCGAGAGTGGCGCTGCATCTCCTGCCGAGAATGGCGCTGCATCTCCTGCCGAGAATGGCGCTGCAGCTCCCGCCGAGAGTGGCGCTGCATCTCCCGCCGAGAGTGGTGCTGCATCTCCTGCCGAGAATGGCGCTGCATCTCCCGCCGAGAATGGCGCCGCAGCTCCGGCTGGATCGTCTGCCGGAGCCCCTGCATCTTACCCACTTCCTTCTCAGGCTGGCCAGGTCGCCCTTGCGAGTGGCGCCCCAGCCTCCAACGGTAACAGCACTGTTCCCTTCAAGGGTGCTGCGAGCCTAGTTTCGGCGATCGAGATCTCATTCTTCATAACGGCACTGGTGACTCTCATTACTGGATTCGCTTTTGTACTATGATCAACAACACCAAGAAGGATCAATAGCTACGCTTCGTTTTTGGTTTAGGTATGCTCCTTTAAAGTGTTCATTATACCTGGCATGTGTTAACCTCTTTACCCTAGGCGTTGATTGGATGCGTCACTGTTGTATTCGATTAAGGTATTGGTTACCATTGTGGAAGCTGGACTGAAGGACTCTATTTACGTGGGATGATACTCTGATGTTACAATAATTATCAATACTATTATCTTCACCCCTTCTCATCTTGACCGATCTGTGGTCTATGCTCATCAAATCTGATCACAACATCCAGTGCTTTGTTGTCCCTTTGTCACTACATGGTGACTCAACCAAGATCTTGTGGACCCATGATGTAATCTTTGTTCTTTATCCAGCAAGTCATTGTTCATAGATTGTTCATAGATTGTTGGTAACAACACCTCTTTGTTGCTGTTTAAGCCACATTGCTCTTCAACCCTTCAACAACCCTTCAACAACCCAACCACCTTGCGCTGCAATCATATCATCGTTGATATACTCAGACAGCCAGTGTCAATTCGCAGTACATCATCATGGCGCCCGGCGCGTCCTCCATCAACGACGGATTCCAAGATTTCTATGCGCCACGTACCACAGAGCCCTCTTCAACATACCAACAACCGTCGATGCCGCCGGCCGAGCATCAAAAACCCCAAAGGTCGATCGGACTCCACAACTCCCGAGGTCCCGTGGATCGTACCAAACCTGACGACGACGATCAAATACAAACAGGCTGTTTCAGGGAAATTAAGAACTACAAGGCTGGAGACGAGTTCCTTTTGCTCTGGAAGTGGGTAGATGACTTCATGGACAAACGGCGAGCTAAGATCAAATCCAGCAAGTCACATAATGTCAACACGTCAACTTCACGACAACCCAAGTCAACTCCCTCTTCATCACGCAAGGCCCGTCAAGTGCCCAGGCCAGCAGTCACCCCATCACCGGAAGCAGTGAGAAGACAGGCTACAGACAGAGAAGACATGCGTGAGTACATCGCTCAACGTCATACGCCGTGGGGCGAGCTCATTTATTTGTACCGAAATTGGAAGGACCAACAAGCTAAGAAGAAAGCAGATCAAGCAAGACAGAAAAGGGGCGAGGAGATCGCCAGGAGCCAGGCCACCGTGAGAAGGGACGAGTCACCTCGCGGTCGCTCAACAAACCGACGTGAGCCTCCTCGAAATGCCCCGTCGCCACCAGATCAAGATCATGCGGCCGACTCCCAGCCAGGCATAGCAAGGAAGCCAGTTCCTATCTACAACAAGAAGAGAGGGGAGGTTCAAAAGCACGCCGTCAAGATCGCTCAGCTACCTCCAGGACATAACAGCGTTCATCTTCAGCACACCCCCTCGAACAACTATCGCGCCAGACCTTCGCCTGCTCGTGGCCAGAAGGACAAGTTCAATCGCAATACACATTTTTCCGACTTCCTTCACCAGGAGCATAACGCGCCGTCCGCTCTGATGGGCGAAACGGAAGGGACCTACGCCGGACCAGGTGAAGACGCCGATTTGGTGCGCAACAGCCACTTCTCATCAGTCCTCGATCCCGCCAAAGCGATCAAGAAAGCCAAAGAAGCCGAGAAAGCGAAAGGCCCCAAATGTTACATCTGCGGGACTGCGTCCACGAACAGCCCCGGAGGCTACCGCGACAATATCACTAACCTGTGGGTCTGCGTAGCTTGCCAGCAACAGGAAGACACTTGCCCCGTCCAATGCACCGTCTGCGGTGCAGATTCCCCTGATACCGGATATGCCCGTAATGGGTTGTGGATGTGCAAAGCATGCCGAAGCCCGACTACGCCGAAGGAGCTGCCGCCGTCGCCAAAGTTTTCTCGCAAAGCCACATCAAAGCCGAAGCCGGCGTCAAGGCTCAACGACCATAGCTCTCATGCTTCGCTAGCCAGTCACGCTGTGCCCATCTCGGAGTACGACAGTGATCATCTCTACTCCGACGACTCGTACGAGACACGCGCGACCACGCCCCTGTCCCAGAGGCCAATCGGACTCGGTATCACACTCCAAGACTCGGAAGAGGAGGAGGAGGAGGAATTCCGGCCCATACCCCCGCTCAAAGACAGCAAATACTACCAAGATTCCCCGACCCTCCCAGCCATGGACTACAACCGATCCTACCTCCGCAAACCGGGCACGAAGCACCCGTACGCGCCCTCGTCGGCATCGACAGCATCAAGGACAGCCCCAGCCTCCTTCGCTCCCGACCTCCCCGGAGCCAAACCCTCCAAGAAACAGCGCCGTCAGCAAGACCGGTCCTTCAACCCGACCACTTACCCATACCCGTCTCCCCCCGGCACGCCGACGCCGCTCCACAAGCCGAGGCCGGCCAGCAGCGTCTATCCGACCGACGAGCCCGCCATCGACTTCCCGTACCCGCCTCCCCCGATCCCTCAACGGTTTTCGCATCGGCCGAAGAGGTCCAGTTCCGTCAGTCCCGGAACGCGTTCGAAAGCGGCCTTGGCTCGTACGGAGCCGGCGAGTCCGAGATCGCAGTCGTCGCCCGTGAGCACGGAGAGTGGACGGACGGGACTCAATAGACGCTCCTCGTGGTATGATTTTTGGAAGCCGGTTTTTGAGAAGCCGGGGGAGGGAAGCCCTTGAGGAGGGAAGAGATTGGGGTGAGTGAGATTGTTGGACATAGCTAAATTAATACTAAGTTTGTAGCCAGATGAAAACCATAAACACATTAAAGTGACTGGAAATCTTGCACATATTGAGACTCCAAGGATCTTCTGAGACTCATATCTGATGTTTCCGAATTTGAGAAAGATTATACCCGCACTGGAACTCCAGCCTCTTTCCCCCAATCTGCAGGTCCTCAACATGCTGTTCCTCGCAAGGATAGGCTAGACTCTACGAAACCCCCAGTGAAGGTATTTGACACCACAGCCGCGCCTGCGAAGTGGGAAAAAACCTCTTGTTCCCACGTGACAAAGAGCAACTGCAAAGACAAATGGTACGAATCCTGAGAGTTGAACGACTTAGCACACTGAACCGCGACCCATACTGTAAGCCAGTAAGCCAATCCATTAGTAACCTCGGTTGATCCAGTCTCAGAGCCATTCCTGCCTTGTTTTATAGTATTCTAAAGCACTCCTGATATACTTTTCAAGTATGAAGAAAGTCCCGAGTAGTAGAAGAAGATGCTCGGAGTGTTCGATGACGATGGTGTCAGGATGGCGTGTGATATTTCGCTACCCATGAGGTCACCCCTCTTCCCTCAATCGTACAGCCAGGCGAAGCAACACTCAACCACAACGGGACCATTAGCGTCACCGCCGCTATCTGAAAAATGTCCACCGGCTGTCCGAGTCGTCATTTCCCGCGTTCTGGGCGATCTGTTGTTGGAAACTCCGCAATTCGAAGACAGTCCACGGTTGGCTGACCGCGATGATGGGTACCGCAATGAAGAGCATGATCGATAATCGCCTGATTCGACACTGCATTAGCGCCTGCAGTACAAGCTGTCTCGATCACATTCCACTCAGTTGTTGAAATGAGTAAACCTTTTTTCGCACCTACCCCACTCGATCCAAAACTCTCCATCATCCTGCTCATGAACGGATAGATATACAGCAACCAACATAGTGCGAATAGGAGAAACCTCGATTGCTCTTTGCGGCTTTGCTGGCCCTTGGGAGTACTGGCGTGGTCCAGCTGCGGCTCACGAAGGAGGCCAGGATTGAACGCCACATACACAAGTGGGAGAATGGTCAACAAGGACACGGCCCAGGCAATCTTAGCGGTGCTATCTCCCATACCGCTGGCACTGATCCCGAAGTCGAGGCGGGTGAGTACGACGATGCAGGCGAGTTGGATGGAGAATGTGAAGAAGACGGCACAGTCGTTGAAAGAGCTGCAGCCCCATCCGCTACGGAAATGTACCGATCCGGCAAATAGGGGTGATCTGCATTCGTTCGTTGTTCGTTCTTAGGACGGAGAGGATGTATAGCAAGGATCATTGATCGAGGCATCGTTGTAAACGATGTACACTGAACGAACAGGCTGCGGCCAAAAAAGATGGTGGCTCAACGCCAAACCGAAGATAAAAGAGAAAGCCAGTGCTCGAAACTCCTAATGGCTCCTGCGACTGGAATGAAAGAGGTAAAAGCGAGCATCTCGAAAGGCACTCTCCGTGGGATGGTCTGTAATCCATGTGTGGTATACAATGTTGCGTAGCGATGTCACGAATCTCGGAGTAAAGGTTCTCTGACAGGCTCTGTCGTTAGGTCCTGAGGCGTTGCAGCATCGGTGGAAGATATTGGGGAACAAAGTCCATTGGAGGGTGCGTATTACTCGCACTGCTCCTCATGACCTCTGCAGCTATTTCTGCGAAATCAATTCGCTTGTGATTGCTCGAGAGTCCCGTCGGGGTTGGAAATCGAGGGAGAAGACATCGTCTGCACACGTAGGGAGCCTTGAAATACTTGATTTTCGCTGTAGCTGCATAGAACGCATGGACGATACAGAGAGACTCTTATGCCCATCATCTCCAAGGAGCGTAAGGCGGCGTGCATTAGCCTGAATCATCAAGAGGTGTTCCCATTGGACGCACATATGCAGGTGCTCGTTTTCAGTAGGCCTCGGCGATTCTGCAGCCTTGCTCTACGACTCGGTTCATGATCCCTTCTTTTCTATCTTGCGAGAACAACTCTCAGACCTGAGTTTCAACCAGAATGCAATACTGGCTATAAAGCGGTATTGACGTCTCAATGCCATCCCGATTGCATCTGCCACTTCCTTGAAATTCTGATCTCACACTCACCACATCCCCAAAGCCTTTTATAGATCAGCCTTCCACCACTCAATTCACAACAACCCCAATTTCCTCACCATGCGTCTCAACAAACTCATCCCGTGCTCATCATCGTGATCACTACCACTCTAGCCCGCGAGACAGGTGCCGCTGTGGCCTACTACGCACAGAGGATTTATTGCCGGCTTACGTGGCTATCGTGGGTACTCGTCAGTCTAGAGGATTCAGACTACATGAATATAGATGGTTCCCATTGGATGCACATATGCAGGTGGGCATATTGGTAGGCCTGGTGCTGTGAATAGGGTAACGTCAGCCTTGTTTAACTGGAAAGAGGAGTTGGGGTAACAGAATACCATCGTAGTTCATGGGACGGACACACCTTCCGAAATGCCAAAAGCAGAGAGCTGCATTAGTCTAACTCGCGGTCCTCTTGAGCCGTCAACTCATCTCTCATCTCTCACTTCTCATTTAACACCCCTCACAACATCTCCTCCTCACCTCCACCGCACTGCCTCAACCTCCCTCACTTGAACCATTCAGCCTCCATACACACCTAACCCACGTCCAACCACACCACACCACTCCCATCAAACAACGACAAACATCACCATGCGTCTCACCAAGCTCATCCCAATGACCACCATAATCACTTCCGCCCTCGCCGGCCCCGCCGCCTACGGTATCTGCCAAGCAGGATGTGCAGGCGTCGCCGTGGCTTGCTATACAGCTGCTGGAGCAATCATGGGCGTGACGGCCGGAGCTGCTGCCCCTCCTGCAGTCTTAGCTTGCAATGCAGCCTTCGGATCTTGTCAAGCCGCTTGTGCTGCTGCTTTGGTCATGCCTACTCCTTAGGCATACCCTCCAGTATGACAAGGTATGGTTTTCTCTTTCATGAAGACATGCTTCATCCTATCTTGCTCATAGATCCTTACTTCTTGGGCAGATAATCAGACCAGACAAAGTATGGCGTGTTATAGGCGGAGCCTTGTCTGATTTGTCCATGGACCCGGACGGTTGCGGGTGGTTTTGCTATTTTGTGGTATCGGCCGTGGCCAAATATTAGCTGGGGGGGTTCAGCTGGTTGGGTCAGGAGGTAGGTGAATTTATAAAAGCTGGATGTGGCGCGAGAGCACAGTAATTCAATCCATGCCTTTGAAGCTCATGACATGCTGCACACCACTTTGAGCTTTACCCTTATTTCGCTTCCTTTTCTTCTTCTTCTTCCTCTTGCGCTGCTCTTCCTCACTGCTCTCCACCGAATCAGCTCCGCGGTCATCCTCATCACTGTCAAACCCATTGGCCCTCTTGCCATTCCTAGCGCCCACTTCCTCGTCTTCATCCTCTTCGTCCTCTCCATTATCCAATCCATAATTGTCCTCCCAAACCTTGACAATCTGTCCACCCCCACTAATCATCCTTCCCCCAATCTCAAACCCCAAACCCAATACCCCCTCCACCTCATCGTGTCTCACCTCCGTCTCATGTAGTACCTTCGGCTTTTTCCTGCCCATATCCACAAATCTGACGCACCCATCATCCATTCCCACTGCCACCATTGGATTCTCCCCCATAGCGGCCAGCACATCAGCACTAGCCCCCTTCCCCACCACAGCAACGGTCTGTTCATTATCGTCCCACGACCCCACCTGCCATATCCGTAGGACTCCCTTCTCACTCCCAACCACCAGCTTCCCATCCACAATGCAAGAGCTCAGTATCTCCTCTCCCTGATCCTCGCTCTTAATCAACACTCCTTTTCGTATGTCCATTATCGCTATGGTACTGCCGCCTGTGGAAGCCCATTGTTTGCTGAGTCCGCTTCTGGAGTTTTCAGTTGGCGGTAGTGGTGTCATAGAGGAAACATAGTCGTCGTGTGGGTGGTGCGTTTGTTGTGGTTTGGAGGATGCGAGGGTGGAGTTGGCGCGGAGGTCGTAGAGGTAGACGGCGGAGGAGTCCGTGGAGAGGAGGAGGGTTTGGGGCGTTTGGGCGTGGAGGATGGAAGTTGGATCAATTGAGTTACTATTATGGCCCACAGACACGTTAGAAAATTCAATCGAAGCGCATGAACCAAGTGGGGGTGTAAATATACTTGTGTAGCGGTACGGCGATTTTACTCGCGACCTGCCCCGTCTCTGTCGCCGCAACCTTCACAATCCCATCCGTCCCAGCAGAAAACAGTTGCTCCCCATCATGATCGAAGCATAAGCTGCGACAGCTTCCTTTATGACGACGCGTACGCCATGCGGTCTCGATGGTGCTATTGCGCGCCTCCTTGGGGTCCGAGGAAGGGAGGCGCTGGAGTTGAACATGGCCTGAGGCGAGGCCTAGAGCAAGGAGAGGAACGTTGGGGTGAATGGCTTGAGCGAACAGATCGGAGCGAATGGGGTAGGTGCAAATGGAGCTAAATGAGTTGGACATCGAAGGAAGGTGGGAGGATGTAATTGTTTACTTAGTGGTTGCTTCAAGTTTGGTGGCAAAGTATGCAGGGCCCCTATGTTGGTCAAAGTGAATGTTGTCGTAGCTACCAAACATTCTTATACTAACTTAGCTAAGATACTACCGTTTCAATGCTAACATAAACACGAGAAGCAGCCTGCTCCCCACATATTCAACGTCCATCGATTCGCCCATCTGAAGTATTCTGAAGGCTATTTATTTGTTCTCGTCTTCTTTGGAGCCATCCTCTTCGTCCTCTTGCTTCCCTTTGCTGATGAGGAAGGCTCGTCGTATGCTTCCTCCACATCCTCTTCCTCTTCAGGTGGTTCATATATGTCCTTGCCCCTAGCAGACCTTCTCGTAGGCGCGGTTTCTCTTTTCTCGGCTTTGGGTGCCTTCGCCTTGAGCTTAGGCTTCTTCTTGGGAGACTCGAGGTCTTCGCTATTTGACTCATCTTCCTTCGGAGGTTTGAATGTGTCAAATTTGCGCTTTGGTTTTTTACGACCTGTGGCCTTGCTGGCCTCTGGCTCTTGAGCTGCGTTCGCATCTTCTGCTTCGTCCTGCCCACTTTCCAATGGGGCAGCTGTAGCTGAAGCTTTCTGTTTACTCTTCTCCCCTGTATTAGGCATCTCCGTTTCTTCTTTCGGACCCTCTGGTGCTTGCGGCCTGACGACGTCGCGGCTGTTGTTTCGCTTCTCCCTGATGCTTTTTGCTTCTACCGGATTTAATAACAAGAATTCCGATACGCTGGTCTCGCATTTGTCTGCATGCTTAGTTTTGGCCTGTACCAGAGATTAAAACAGACCTCGAATTAGATGGATAGAGTCTCACGTTAACACTCATCTTGTCCACGCTCTTCAAGCAGACATTGCAGTATCGTAGTTTCTTAGGAGCTTCAGATTGACTTGGCTGTTTGGGATCTTCATCTACCTGTGCCTCTGTCACCGGTTCTTTCGTCTGCATCCCTTCATCGAGGCCTGAACCAGCTTTTGAACGCCTTTCGAGTTCCATCGCCCGGTCTCGCAACGAGTCGCGCTCCGCTGTGATACTCACGAGGTCCTCCTGTAACCGGTCCCACTCGTTTGCGGCGTCTTGGAGGTGCCTGACTTGTTGCTGCAGCTGGTCACGCTCCGTTGCCGTGTCTCGAAGATCCCTGACCTGTTCTTGCAACTGGTCACGCTCCTTTACGATTCTTTCGAGATTTTTGACCTCTTCTTGCAGTCGATCACGCTCCTCTTCGGTCTCTTCATTATCGCGATGAACGGACTCATGCTCCTCTTGTTGCTAGTTGCTGTCAGCCGCTGTACTAACTCCGGATAATTACCCTTACCTTGGCCGTCTGGGCATACATGTTCGTGTGGCAATGTTTATGTTGACAGATGCCATCTTCAGCGTGTTCTTCTTCAATGTGGAGTCGCAGATGTTCTGAAATGGTCTAGTTTTCATCAGATGATGGCTTGCAAATCGTGACACTTGGGCTTACCTCATAGCTTGATTCTGTCTGGTTTTCACCCAACCAACTCGTACAATTTGGTTGCGGGCACTTTTGCGGGTCTGGCTGACGAACAATCTTCTTTTGATGTAGCTTAAGGTGGTCTTGTTGTTGCTACGGAGAGTCAGCATTATGAAGTTTGCAACGGTTAGCGCATTTTTACCTGTTTCGTCACCCCTGCCCAGTCCTGGGGACAGAATGGACAAGAGGATTTCAGCTTAGCTCTGCTCTCTGAGGTCCTTAGCCGCTGCTCTAAACTGTTCATTTCAGAAAGCTTCTCCTCTGCAATTCTCAGCCGCTCTTGTAGGCCATCAGTCTCAACAACGCTCGCCTCTGCAATCTTCAACCGATCTTTGAGCTCATTTATTTCAGCATTAGTGAGCAACCGTGGATGTATCGAAAGAAAATCTGGACCTCCGCGACCCTCTGTTGCTTTGATGGAACTAGGTTCAGGGAGTTGACCAGTGATCAAGCCACCGAGGATATCTGATGGTGGCTGATCAGGGATGCCCAAAGCGTTTATGGATCCTTGATCAACATATGGACCTGCTCCTGACGGTGCTTGAAGCACGTCGGGTACTTCTCCGGGACCCGTCTCAGACTTGGCATTCCCATGCCTAGGAGAGCTGGTACTTAGGGAGTCGGACCCGTCTGTTACATCCTCGAAAACGTCGCGAATGAAAATCTCTACAGGGTGAGAATCCGATTTCACTGGGGTACCCGAGAGCTCAGCAAAGATTTTTTGGATGTTGTCGTCCACCACCACGTTTGAGTTACGATCGAGGCCGAAGGCGCCGTGGCCGGGTATATCAAGGCTCAAATTGTTCGATTTCGGGTACGCAGACGAGTCCCAATCGAATAAGAATCTAAGTGCCTTTTCGAAATGCAGATTGTTCAAGTACAAATCTCCGGTATTGTGCCAATTTGCCGAGCAATAGCAGTAGCCAACGTTTGGGCGCACTATCTTCAGATCATACTTCAGTTCGCCCACACCACCTGAGTCAAAGCCTGACTCCAGGTTCCACGAAGACTGATACCTCGTGGAGCGAATCCGAAACTTATTGTCTGGCCGGCCAAAAACTGGTTTTATGTTGTCCTGAAAATTCCGATTTGAGGCCCGAGATACAGAGACAATTTTCTCTTCGCGAATAACTTTCCCAGGACCCAGGATATCCAGGAACATGCCCCAAATTTCGGTTGGACCCTCCTTCGCTTTCTCTTCCTCATCCTCTTCCTCATTCCCAACGAGCCAGCAAGCCATGGCATAGAGAGCTCTGTGGGTAAATTCTCTGAGATACATGCCTCCTCTGTTGAATTGGAGTAGGACTTCAGCCTCAAGCGGGGATTGCGCGAAAACCGGTGCTGCACTTGTTTGAGAACCCGAGTCGATGTCATCAGTAGGTTGCCTTTGAGTTGGCTCTCTTCCCAAACCCGGCAAATTGATGTCATTGTAACGGTCTAGGAATCCAAGCGCCTGTTTGTTTTGTGTATTGTGCTGCTCCCCAGCTCCGCGCTGTACCTTCTCTTTCCGTTCGTTCTCTAGCATCGCAATCTTGGCTTTTGTCGTTGGCGAAGGTGGATTTTCGTCGAAATGTTTGCCCCAGTCGATCGGTTGTCCAGCGGTCACAGGATCCAAATCACCTGGTTTCGTCCAGAAATGAAAGGAAGGTAACTCATCGTGAGCTAAGGCAATGAAAAACAAATTGCGTAGGGTCTTCTTCTCATCGTCGGCTCCTTTGTCAGCTGCTTTCCCGAAAGGGACTATGGAGCTCAAGGGAGGCCGGGAGATTGGCTGATCGTCTAGAGCAGCAAGACACCGAGTTTCGAAGTCGTAAATGTCGCCCAGGGTGATAATTGCTGTCTTGGGGTTCGCATACCCCACGAAGTCGGAAGCACGAAAGATTTTGCCTGACCGGAGGAATCCCGATAGAATACCCTTACGAGCATCCTTGATCATCTCATAATTGGGCTTCTTGGGGTCCTTGTCCCGAGGCACACGTCGCTCTCCCACAAGTGTTTCGAAGAATTCAGGAGGAGCAGCGGTAGCATCATTTTGGCCAGATTTCAAACGGGGCTCTAAAGGCAAAGTGAGGGGTGTGGCAGATTCGCCGAAATTGGACTTCAAGAGTTCAGAAAAACCCAACATGGCAGCGAGTTCAATGTTTTGCAAACATTGATCAACGCAACGCTAGATCGTTCAATGTGGCCATTCTTGTTTTTGTAGTGATGCGCAGCGGTCGGCATTCTTGTAATCGCAATCATAGAGAAAAGATATCGATGGGGAGAGCTGTCTGCAGGCAGGCTTCTGACAAAGCCAAGTTGGAGCCATAGACAATGAATCAAAGACAAAGGATACGAATGTAACATGCAGCACCATGCTTGCGGTGAGATGCGCTCAGAAACAAGCCCAGAATGACGCTTCAGATTAGGAGATTGAGGAACGAAACAAGCCAGCCGCATCTGGCATCTGAGACAGGTGCAGAATGTATAGCTCAAAGCACTCATGGTGTTATTCTTCCTCTCTCCTCGATCAATCTGATGTGACACTCTCTACTAGAGTCTCTGACCGTGAGACGCTGTATGACTTCTGGCAGCATTGCTGTCTCTTGTCTATTATGAGGCACTGCGGATGCTAAGACATTTGTAGCCTGCTGGACTTGTAAGGAGGGGGACCGGCAGAGTCCTGCAGTTATACCCATTGTTCTATCTACATTGCAATAATACGGCCTTGATTGTAGCAAATGAACCTTGTGCCCGGGGAGCCTCAGTGCGAGAGTGCCTCCTTAGGGTCCTCGACCAATGGAGTATGTCCTACACGAATACTCTGTGCTGTCAACAAATTGTGTTAGATGAACGCAATCTGAAGAGTCACTTTATTTGAACAGCCCAAAGTGCTGAGTGCTCACCCGAGATCTTGAAGCATGGAGCAATGGGTTCGCCGCAATCCATTGACCCTTCCCGCTACTCTGCTCGGTCTTCAACTCGCAATCACCGTCGGTCTCAAGCTCTATAAGATAAAGACTGGCGGAGCCCAAGATGAGCAAGTTGTGCCTTCCCCAAGCAAGAGCTTGTTGCCAAAGCTTTCACCTGAAGAGACTGCAAGCTGTCCATACCCACCGGATGCCTATCCAGGTACAAGAGATGTCGAGTCACCCTATGGAAGCTTGAGAGTCTACGAATGGGGACCAGAAAATGGGAGAAAAGTGTTACTTGTACATGGGATATCGAATCCGTGCATTGCATTGGGAGCCGTTGCGCATGGCCTGGCTGACAAGGGGTGTCGAGTGATGATGTTTGATCTTCCAGGTCGCGGATATTCTGATACACCTGTCCCTACTCCCCATTCAAACCGCCTCTACACCACTACAATCCTTTTAGCTCTGACCTCGTCTCCTCTATCATGGACAGGCAATGGCGAGACCTTCTCCTTGATTGGCTACTCCCTAGGCGGTGGAATCGTCGTCAATTTCACTTCTTACTTTCCTTTCCTTATTTCTTCCTTGGTCCTCCTCGCTCCGGCTGGTCTTGTCCGCCAGAGCCGTATTACTTTGATGAACAAAATACTCTACAATACAGGATTGATCAACGAGACAACTTTAGAGAAGATCGTTATAGGTCGAATGAGACGTGAAGAACTACCGGCAAGGCCTACTAAGCTAAAAAAGAAGCCATCGATAGGAACCGCTATTGGAGAGGAGATACCAAAAGAGAGAGAAGAAGATATACCCACCCCACCATCTTTGTCACAAACTAGGCCTAACATCACGATCTCGGGAATCATAGTACGTTTACATCTTGCAAGTCGCAATGATGGTTGAATTATCTGATTTCCTTCAGCCATGGCAGCTTGACAATCATCCGGGATACGTCAAATCCTTCATGTCTAGTATTCGATATGGGCCAATCACCGGACAACATGCTGACTGGCAACGGATTGCCAAACGATTGGCTGCACAGAATGCCTCCATGGAGGAGAGGACTGAGAAAGAAGGTTTGCAGAACGGCAAAATACTGATCATAGCTGGACACAAAGATGCAATCATTGTCGAAGACGAGCTGGTTGCAGATGCTACAGAAATTCTAGGGGAGAACAGTGTCAGATTTGAATTCGTTGACGCAGGTCACGATCTGCCTGTCTCTAAGAGCAAGGAGATACTTGGATTTATCTCGGCCTTCTGGGAGGAAAGTTCCTCGACGCCAAGGTCATGAATGCGCGAATAGTTCAGAACTTCGATTCACTTTCTTTCTTACCCAAGAGTTACATATCCATGAAACGATTCGCCCTTCATAGCCAGTGGTTCCTTTCTCTCTGCTTACCAATCTCAAATTGCATTCCTCCCCAACTTGTCGTGAACTTTGTGTGCTATTTCTTGCTACCTGATTCTTTGAGTTTGGTGCAAAATGGTCTCTCCGCTCCCTTCCGAACGAGGCGTTTAACGTGTAAAGGTATCTAAGATTTAGCATCCGACTAAAGATGTCTAAACGTGAAAATGTGCTGTTCTCTACACTGACTTGTTACGCTCGCCATGATCGGTCTCCTACACCGTCCAAGGTTTTGGGAAGCTCTGGTCTCCGCACATGCTAGAAGGACATTTTGGGCGAGCTCGGTCCTACGGGAGAAAATAAGAAGCACCGCAACACCATTGTACCAGCGCCATTAGGAATCCAACCTAATACGAATTAAATATCTCCGCCAAACACGATCACAACCAACAGGTCTCCGCCCTCGGACTATGACTACCGGGGAACATTTCGCTTCACAAATCAATGCGTCGCACGGGATTCGAACCTAAGCCCTCGTCAATACCGTTCGACGGAACTTTAAAACCTATGGCTAATAGGGCTGCCAGAAAGTAAGAAGCACCGCAACACCATTGTACCAGCGCCATTAGGAATCGAACCTAATACGAACTAAATATCTCCGCCAAACGACGGGTGGATATCTGAAGTTGAGCTTTGAATGAGCTATGGCGATTCGATTCAGGACATCGCAGGCAGAAGAGTCAGATGCACAAGGGGATGGTTGACTCTATATTAACCTGGCGGCTGATATGCTATACTAGTAAGACACAACTACGTGTATCTCTCTGACACTATTGTTGAGGAGGACGTGGCAGATTCAAGTGGGCTTTAGTTGCTCAAGCCCGAAGTCAGAAAAGCCCAAAATACGTGCTCTGGCTTGAAGCCACAAACTCTCCCAATAGTACTAACATAAAACGACCCAAACCCTCGCTCAAAGATTTCCTACCGTCCTGCGACGAGTGCAAATGGATCTCATCTTTTACCCCCCAAATTACGCCTATAGTCTCACCCTCACTCTCACCAATCCTCTCACTGACCTTAGAATGTCCCACCCGACCCCCTCCCCCACCCGCCTCACCACGGATACTCCCTTATCCCCAACGCAACTCACTCCCGACACCCCCTCATCCTCCACCTTCCCTCCCATCCCCGCCCGCAACCCCAGTCGTGACAACAGCAACAGCGAATCCCAACGCCCATCCCAGAACGAGGTCACGCTACAACAAGCACTGGAGCAAGGGCCGGTCACAGTGCCAAAGAACCCGAGACGCTTGTCGGAATTTGATGCAAATCTTAGTAGACGCGAGAGGAGGAAGTCAAAGGCGTGGTCGGGCGAGAGCCAGGGCGTTTCAGACGGCTATGGTGAGGGAGAAGGGGAGGGCGCGAGACGGAGATCAGGGCCGTTGGATGCCGAGGAGTTGAAGGTGTTTGTTGTTGAGAAGCTGAGGCGGGTGAGTTTTTACACTGTTTGGGGGGTGTGGTGGATGGGATGCTGATGGTTACGCTTTCTTAGATATCAAGGCTCTGGTCCAACTAGTCTTGATGGAAGATGCTGGGCGCTCATGGCAGTTCTTTCGTCTCGGCCAGGAAGAGACAGCTGGCTTGTCCAGTCATGGTTCCCTTGATCCAGTCGATATGAGCCGCGCTCTCGGGAGCCTTGCAGACTTTGAATCTTGTACTGAGGGCGATACTGGTCCCGCTCACTTCAGGAAAGGGGGTCTTTAGCAGAACGCAATAGAAAGTTACTTCACTGTAGAGAGCACCTAGGATAACCACAGAATAGTACAATAATCTAAAGTGTGCAACCCCTTCACTGTCTTATATGGAACAAGATCCATGATGGGGCCGCCTAGCATCAACAGAGCTTCTCACAACGTGGCCCACGCACTGACAAAGGAAAAGGAGCACTCGCAAAGAATGATGCCAACCAGAGTTACGAGAGTTACCGGCGCTAAGTCTACGAAAGCTTGTAGCATAAGGTAGATAGCGAAGATGTGTTCACATAAAGAGTAAGGAGACTGGCAATTGTATATATAGATAGTAGAATGTGTATGAAGAAGACAATGAATCCATGTATTCGGCTGGATAGGAGGTACGAATGCGTACGCGGAGGATGGTGGGGAGGTAGGCAGAGAGGAAGAAGAGGAGGCAAAGACAGGGTAGAAAGGGGCAGGCAATGATGATGTTGGAGCAGATGTTGACTCTGACATGTTGTAGGGAGACGTATAAGCTGGCGAGAGGTGTTCAAACGTACATCCGAGAACGGAAGCCCGCCTTGAGATACTTACCGCTTGGTTCAAGTCGAGATTTTATCAAAAGTTGGAAATGTCCTCACATCATTAGTCCGCCGGGACTGTCTTTGTCACAGGCAGGTCTGAGGGATGGAGATGCCTCGTGGTCACTAACGCACAAAGCCCCTTGTCTCGCTCAAAGCAAGGCAGGTTCTGAGGTGCTGAGATACGAGGCACTGGGTCTAATCTTGCGCTTAGCTTGTGATCTACCAACAATGGAGAGTATGTTGGAGACGTTGTGTGTCCTGTCCAGTAGCGCATGGTGTGTCTAATAAGTGAAAAGCACTGAGGAGAAAGCAAGACAGAAGAGGTATATTCGGACTCCCTGTAGCGCCAACGCTATGCCAACTCCCACCCGAGTGCTTGGAATAGAATACTGTACACTGCTTCTTGACCTCAGGCGTGGCCTAGATCACCAGGACTCAAGTCACTGGCTCCCACTGATTCCGATGCTTTACTCAACTCCATGCTCTTGATCGACCAACCAGCTTCCTCTTTGACCCAGTCCTTCCTCTCGCCTAGGACTGCGATCCTAGCATCTTTCATACCTTCCACGAGGTACCGCTGAGCGACCTCACGTATCTCTTCTTTCTTGACGTCCAACAGCTGCTCGCGCTTAGTCTGCTCCATAACCTCATCCACACCACTCAAAAACCTGGTCATGCCCTCCTGGCTGACGCTTTCAGGAGCGTCGACGCCTTGAAAGACGCTCAACTTCGCTTCCTCGAGGTTTTGATCTGTCCACTCTTTGTCTCGAGCCCACCGACCTGCGTCCTGCATGACCTTTAAGGTGCTCTGTGGATTGGGATCTCGGTAGCTATAGTAGCCAAACAAGCCACTCAGACCTCGGGAGTAAGCCCCACCGCCATAGGCACCACCCTTCTCACGAATCTCGTGATGCAGATGTTTGTGAGTGAGGAGTTGAGAAAGGATCTGCAACGGGCCACCAGAAGCGTGAGTGTACGATACGGTAGGAACGGCGAGGGCCGAGTAGTAGACTTGATATGGTAAAGGGAAGAAGGTCGTCGGTCTATATTTCTCACCGGGTATAGACCCCTCGTCTTTGGGGATGCTGGTAGACTGAGGGAATCCCGAGAGAAATTGTTGCAGTGCTGCTTCATTGGAAGAGACGGACTCATGTCCACACGTAAGTGCTGCTCGGAAGGTTGACGAGTTGGAAATAGCAATATGTTGGATAGCCTTCAACTTGGCAATGACATCGCCGAAACCCTCAATGGGAGATCTGTTGGCTAGATCTCCGGTGTGTTGAATCTGTGTCAGACCTCCAATCTGTTCATTCAGTAGGCCATGTCCGGAGAGCCCTGCTTCCGCATATCTACGAGCATAGGAATGTCCAGAGCCTGAGACAGCATCCAACGCACCATTCGCGTCAGCTTGAAGCAGCTGCCTGATTTTGCTTTCGGCTTCCGGACCATCGAAGTTCGTCTCCTGGAGAATGGTCCGGAGCAATTCATACATGGCAGGCACATTACTGTCCAGTGCATATCCAGAGAAAGACAGCCCCTCCACGGATGTCCTCATATCCGTCGGCGAAGGTGAAGAATGGTAGGATGTACTTATCCCGCCGGTCTTCAGTTTGATGAGATCTTCAAGCTGCTCCATGCTCTTATCTTTTGTACCAAGCCGCATGATCGAGTCATTGAAAAGCGGAATAAGCATACGTAGCTCTGACGGCAGGCCAGCAAACGTGTTGATCGCCCGAAAATAGGTCAGTCCGTTCGTGCTGGCTTCTCGCCATTGGATCTTGACATCCCCTAGCGTTGAGTCTCGGACTGGCTTCTTCTCCATTTGACGTGGGATATCTTTAACATGGACACTGGGCAGACAGCTCACATCTTGATCGCTCGCGTTCTCTTGAACCTCAAGTAGCTCGAGCTCACGTGCTGTAAGCTGCTTTTGAGCTTCAGCCTCTCCGCCTGCCTCCCTAGTCACCTCGGAAATCTTTACCGCCAAGCGCGTAGCTTCCTCAACGGCCAATTCTTCGCCGTAAGTATCTAAAGGCTCCATGACGAAAGTCAATGTACGATCATTGAGAAGGTACTTTTCAAGTAAGTCCTCCAGGTAAGTCCCTTCGGAAAACCGTTGCTTGAATGCGGTTACAATATCATTCCAAGCTAGAGCGTCGAATGGATCAGCCCCATTGAACCAGCCTGGCTGTACTCGTTGCATGAGACCCATGCCAAAGCTGGCTGTTTTGTGCTTCAGAGCCAGCTCAAGCTGGTGCAAATAGCCGTCCACCTTGGCCTTTTCGAAGCGCTTTTGATGGACTTCACGCAACTTAGACTGGATAGCCTCTTTAACCTTCGGAAGATCTGCCTCTCTTACACCATTGAGGCCAATCGACAAGATTCCTATTTTACCGGCGCTATCATAGCCGGTGTTTGGGCTCCAATCTGGGCCTAGACCAGCTTCGATAAGAGCTTGGTACAATGGGGAACCGTAGCCATCAAGGAGCAATGATGACATGATGCCTAGTGAGAATGTCTCCAGTATGTTCGAAGTATCACCCATCAGCCAAGAAGTGGATGTCTTGTATTGCATGTCTTTGTCCACCAATGGATCAGCAGGTCCCTTGACAGTGTAGAATAGGGGCCCATTATCTAGGCTCGTTGGTGTCTTGATGGATGTGTCTGCGTGTATCCTTTCAAATCGGTCCAACTGCTGGCCCATTTCTTGCAGATGATCCGCAAGAGGCGTGTCGCCGTAGGTGAATATTTTAGCATTGCTCGGGTGATAATTCTTCGAATGGAAATCTTTTAAATTCTGGTAGGTGAGATCAGTCATTTTCTGGGGATCGCCGCCTGAATAGTTGATATCTGGAAAAATCTGATTTTGGAACTTGATGTAATACAGATAGCTTGCGTCTGAAACCATGCCTTTCATTTCATTGTATACCACGCCCTTGAAGACCAACTTGTCATCTGTGCCGCTTTCGGCGTGACCATTCGCGATGGCTTTGGGATTCTCAGGTCCGATCCGCCAACCCTCCTGAGTGAAGTCATTCTCTTTCAGCAGGGGATGAAATGTAGCATCCAGATAGACAGACAACAGATTTTTGAAGTCCTGCTGGTTCGTAGTAGCGAAAGGATAAGACGTGTGATCGGAGGACGTGAAGGCATTCATGAAATTGGAGAGAGACCTGGGTAGCATCTTGAAGAAAGGATCTCGAACAGGATACCTATGTCAAGGTCAGCTCATCGCCTCGAAATATGCTTGGGCGGACATACTTCTGACTTCCGCAGAGCGTGGTGTGTTCAAGGATGTGCGGAACACCTGTATGATCTGGGGGGTTAGTCTTAAATCCAATGGAGAAGACGTTGTTCTTGTCGTCTCTGGCAACGTGCAGATATTCCGCTCCAGTCTTCTCATGCTCGAGGTGGAAGGCTGTAAGCTGTAACTCAGGTACGTGCTTCTTGCGCTTGAGCATGAACCCATGCATATTTTCTCCGAGCTGTCGAGACTGGTCGAGACTGGTCACTGATGCAAACCCACGCCGAGCCCGTGGCGGCGCAGGATGTGTGCATCGTTGCCATGGTGTAGGCAACCCCTGCTTCCACCGTGTCAACCTAGAAGACACGCGCAACATCTCATGATTCGTTACCTAGGAAGAAAAGTGTCGCAAGATCTGGGAGGCATCAATTTGGACTTTAGCATCTTTTCGGACTAGTGGCGGGTGACTTCTGCGGCTTGGCGAACGACTCGAGACAGTTCATGACATGCTCTCTTTTCCCTATCCTGGATTGTCGATAGCCATACACTACATTTTTTGAACAGAAATAGAGGTCTACTGCCCTCGAGTATCCATATCTAAATACTGGGCTATCGCTATACGCCACATGTTCAAGAAACCCTCGGCCCTCGCCTCCTCCATGTAACCGAGATCTTCGCCTGCCTAAAGTCTGGCATTCAATCAAAGAAAGAAAGTCATATTCGCAAGAAGTCAATTGCTATTGGGCTTCAAACTTGATACATAAAAGGCTCTGGTACAGAGAGTAGCGTTCAAGATAGACCAAGATCAAGCGCAGGGAAGCAGACCGATTGCCGAGACAGGGGCACACCGAGACAGGGGCACAAAGAACAAGCAAAGACAGCCGGGTGTCCGCATCATAGCTCACTTTACTCAATACAAGACAAATGACAGATGAACGACAAATGCACATGAGGATCTGGTCAATCAGAAAGTGATCCTCTGGACACACCCAGCCTTTTCTATCAAATCAACCAT